GAGAGAGAGAGAGAGAGAGAGAGAGAGAGAGAGAGAGAGAGAGAGAGAGAGAGAGAGAGAGAGATGTGTGGGCAGACAGTGAGGAAGGGGAGGGGAGCAGGATGGAGGTAGGGAGGCAAGGAGAGAGAGGATCTCACAGACAACACCTAGCAGTTAGGGAAAGAAGTGCAGGACAAAAAAAGTGTAGGAGAGAGGGGACCTCACCATTGGCTGCTAACAATCGTGCTACTTGCATTGCAAGCAGTCTTCTTAATCGTCATCATCATCGTCATCCTCAAACTCATCGCTGTAAGGCTCTGACGAAGCTGAATTTGACAATTCCGGATTGAGATCGATCTGGAGCACCGAGAAAAAGTAATGTGTCAGAGCAATTACAGCATACATGCACACCAACAAAAGAATGACACATTTCATCAATAAGGTACAACAAATGTCCTTCAGGACAGGACATGCGTTAAAATTGGAACGATACAGAGCAAAAAGATTTGCATGGCCCCTGCACAAGGATGACACACATTAATCGATAAATGGTCCAAATAAATAAATAAATAAAATTACAACAAACAAAACGCACAGCAGCTAGCCAACCACACTCAGGATGTACACAATATCCAAATGCAAGGCAAGAAGTAAAACAAAATTCGACAAACCCAGAAAATTGCATCCAAAACGATTCCAAACCTACAAAATCCCAGAGGTGGTCCATCACGGTGAACAGTATTCCCTCTCCCACCCCCCCTCCTCTTTCCCACCTCTTGCGCCACCACCGACCCCAGTACATGAGGGACTTCAATTCCACTAAAGGCTGCAAATAACATGCCAGGCAAAGCGGGAACGGAGCAGAGAGGAACATAAGAGCTTTACCTCCACCCATGGAACATGTGTGACCCCTGCCTCTGTTGTGGGCATTGCTGGTGGAGCAGGTGGCAGTTGAGCTGCTGCTGTTGCCGTTGGCGGGCGCGGCTGCAGTACAGGAGGCGGTGGAGCTGCTGGTGTTGCAGTTGGTGGATGCAGCTGCTGGGGTGCTGTTGAGGATGGAGCAGCGGTTGGAGGCGTGAGTCTTGAAGCAGGTCGTGTCGTGGTTGGTGTAGCAGTCGACGGTGTGGGAGCAGCGGTGGCAACTGGTTCCTTCGCCACTGCCGGGCGTGGCACAGTGACCGCTACCTCCGAGGGAACAACAGGTGGAAGCGGGGCCGGCAGATCGATCGGTACTGGGTCTCCGGGCTTCCAGCCAGGTGGCATGGGTGGCAGCTCCAGACCTGGTGGTAGCCCTGGTAGCCCTGGTAGCCCTGGTAGTCCTGGTAGTCCTGGTAGTCCTGGTAACCCTGGTAGTCCAGGTAAGCCCGACAAAAGGTCTTTCGGGAGTTCGACAGGCATGCCTGGCCGCCAGCCGGGTGGCGGGACAACAGGTCCAATTCCTGGTGGCAAGATGGGCGGGATGTTGGGCAATATATCCGGGGGTGGTTTTTCTGCACCCAGAGGAGTCACAAGCTTCCCTGCAGCCGCCTCTTCCTCCCCTTCCATATCGTCCTCGTCCTCTTCCTCCTCCTCTTCTTCCTCCTCCTCCTCCTCCTCCTCGTCCTCGTCCTCGTCCTTCAGAATTGGTTCCGGGGGTATTCCTAGGTCCACATCTTTGACAAGATAAAGTTGTGAGGCCCGCAAATGTTCGTCCTGCGGCGCAGGTGGCTGAAACCCCCGCAGAGGAGCCTGCCCACTTGCGAACTCTGGTGGAGCAAATGTCGAGTAACTGATTTTGTGCGCATATGCGATCAGGTCCTGAACATCGATCAGGTCCTGCTTCGACGGGCCTTCAACCACCATCCTTGCGTCCTCCTGTGACGATTCGACTCCCCGCCTCTTCAAACTCGGTCGCTTGTAGGCCGCAAACTCCTCCAGGGTAGATTCCAAGACCTAAGAAATGCACACATGAGCACTAGCTCACGCAATTTATGTAATTAGTAAATTTACATTCACGCGCAGGCACACCAATGGGCATACATTCTGCGATCTCCTCCAGTTAAGATCCCAATGCCTCAAAGATACACACACACACACACACACACACACACTTGAAACAAACATCGCATTCACACATTGGTAGGCCAGAAGCTATTCACTGTCTCCGGAGAATTGTACACAGGCAAAAGCTCACAGAGATTCTTATGAAAAGCCGATAGAACACTTGAGTGACATTCAGGAGTTTCGCAGTTTCCATTCCCCACGCCATCCATTCGACCCCCCGCAGCCTCCTGCAGCACACTTTGAGGTCACCAACTGAGATAAGTGGTTGGCTGCCCCTCATTAATTTTGGCAGGAGAGGAGAGACTGTCATATAGCAACAGGGGTTACGAGCCTGGGTACTACCCCACCACAGAGTAGAGCAGATTTAAACCAGGCGGGACTTGGTTCAACACTGGGGAGAGAGAGGTGCGGGGGTGGGGGGTGGGTGGGTTGGGAAGCTGGAAACCCATAACGTTTAGCGACCAATACACATACGAAAAAGCATTACATTAGAGCCCCTGGGTACGTAGTGTGCGCCCATCTCGATATTGAGAGAAGAGAATAGTGCAGGTCCGTAGGATATAAAAAGCCGTCCCTGTATGAGCCGCAGACAGCTTTTTTTTCTGAAAAAATAAACTGAAATGCCGATAGAACACATCTCAAAACGAACTGTGTGATTTTGCCAAATCCTAATAATCGAATGCTGTGTTTTCAAATGCGTCCTTGCTACCATCTTCCCCCGAACACAACACAGCCTGATTCTCAAGGTATACAAGCTAATAATAGTTTTCGATCCGATACCAGTCAAGATGGGAGTGCGTTGTATTCAGGGGAAGACGGTAGTTGAACTCGAAAAATTTACAATTCTGATGTTTAGAGATAGCTCACCCCTTGAAAAAAAAAAAAAAAAAAAAAAAAAAAAAAAAAAAGAGATAGCTCACCCCCTAACACGAAATCACCTTCTTGAAGTTCTTTTCTCCCCAATAATTCTTCGACAGGTGGGTGCTGGGGGGACATGGAGAGTGTATTGAACTGTATTCCATTCCGCTCTTCAGATTTTGGTTCCACATCGTTGACATCCGCGCCGACTTCGGACGCACTAACTCCTTTCCCAACCTGGAAACCCTAACGGCGTTCGCACACTACTACCTTCTTCCCCCGAATACAACGTACGGTCATTATAGCTGTATTTGAGGCATCTTTCAGTCTAGATACAGCTATAATGACCGTACGTTGTATTCGGGGGAAGAAGGTAGGACTGTCCTGCAGGCATTTATCCATAATAATTAAGGCCGGATTCACTCCAAAACGCTCAAGCCAGGATAAGCCCCCCTACTTTGGTTGATTCTTCTGGTAGTTGGTTTGGTTCGTTCTTCAGCGCTCGTTTGATTCTTCTACTGCACTTCTGTCACTGACGCTTCTGCTTCTGATCGTTCTACTGATTGTTGTCCTCTACCGTTCCATATGAAACATTGCACCCCCCAATCACCAATCTTCCCATCACTGCTTCATCTTCAGCAAAGCCACTAAACTACGGTAGCGATAGCGCCTGGGTCACGATCGACTTCCTAGCATTCTCTGCTGTACTCCTACATCATATGATGTCGAATTGTCAATGCATGTGTGTGCTTGTGCCTGTGCGCGTCGATAGAAATCCCCCCAAATCAACCTCAATCCATCCCAACATATAGACAATGATAATAATCAGAGTGCAAGGTGGGCCATGTCTCTGCAGTCGCGTGCCCGGTGCCTACAGAGTAGTACAGACCTGCCCATCTGCGGAAAGTGCACTTGCACACCAAAAACGAATGAACAAACAAATATAAGCCCTCGAACAAACTTGTCAAGCCAACCAGCAACAGAAATCAGTAGATTCAGTACCCATCACCAAATATGAATTACGCAGGCCTCGAATCTTTTTTTTTTTTTTTTTTTTTTTTTTTCCAATGTTCCTACGAAGCACAGTCCATCAATGAACTTGGTCAACATGAACTTCACACAGCAACGGAAAATAATAAAATATTGATTCACTCAATAGGACGTTCATAAAACCCAAAAGCCCAAACTGAAACCGCCCCACAGCATTACCACCAAATGCGCCCCAGCCGCCCTATTCAGGAAACAAAGGCAGCCCTGAGGAACTCCACCCAGGGTTAAAACTTAAAACTCTATGACCCTGTTCATGGTTGAAAGTTAAAAACTCTCTGAGCTTGTCCATGGTTAAAACTCTATGAGCGTCACAGCCGACATTCTGATGGATGAGACACCGATCAACCCAACAACATCTATCCCTAAGCGTAACCGTCCAAAGAACAGCCTGCAGCCTGATCCAATACCTTTTTTTCTGGCCATCTGGTTGTTTTCTGGATTCAAACTTTGAACAGTATTTGATATGTATTTCAGCAGGTCATGGGTGTACCAACTGCGCTACGCCCATTGGTCCAGCCTGATCGCCTGCCATATCCAGGACATGAGGGATGTGTAGCATTGTGTACAACAGCACAGAAGCTTTACAGGTTACAGAAGCACAGAAGCTTTACAGGGTAAACCACTCTGTGCCCCAACAAGCCATGTGCTAAAAAAAACACAGCCCACGGGAATCTCGCCCGCAGCTTGAACGATACGAGTCCAGCAAACAGCCCATGACACCAGGTAGGACCATGAAACCAGGTCTGCGGCATGAAACCATCCCGTGATCTAGGAACCGGGGAAAGACGGGTAGAGTGGGGTAGGGCGCCATTAGAGCGCCGCTCTAACCCCCCCCACCCCCGTTCTACCCTGCTTCTCAAAAAAAAAAAACACCTCTATGCCCCTACACCCCTGAACATCCCTCCCCTGCAGCCCTCAACACCCCTCCCCTGCACCCTCGACAACCCACAACACCCGTCCCCAACAGCCCTCAACCCCCTCCACCTCCCCCCCTACAGCCCTCTCTCTCTCTCTCTCTCTCTCTCTCTCTCTCTCTCTCTCTCTCTCTCTCTCTCTCTCTCTCTCTCTCTCTCTCTCTCTCTTTCTCTCTTTGTGAGTGCCCAACCTACGTCGGTTTTCTTTTTTTTTTTTTTGAAGTCAAAAAAAGTATTCTGGCAGCGCAGGCGGGTCCCCGACTGCCAGGGCCACCCCCCCACGCCACTGAAATGCTGTTGCGCCGACCCTGCTGGTGCGCCGACCCTGCTGGCCGCGGCGCTCGTCGGCGGGGGTTGCTCTTCGCCACTCTACGGGTAGAGCAGTGAACCCCCGTTCTACCCCCCCCGGCCCCCCTGACACTCGGCCAGGGATACCAGGATCCACTGCTGCTTAACACATCCTGGTGCTGCACAAACCATCATCTCTGAGACCAACAGCCCATGCGAATCTCACCCACAGCGAACACTCTCTGAGCCGCTTCCCAAGGATTCCATGGCGTAAAAGAATATGTTATTTATGTTGTCCACTGTGTGTTGTCTGGTCTCAGAATCTTCGGAATGCACCTCTGCAAGTTGCCCTCAAATCTCCACCTCGTCAAGAAGCTTGCTCGCTGGAGGTAGGAGACACGCGCACACGAACCTCCTCAATGCCGCTGTGTGATGACCCACCTGAAATTCAGCTAGGATGTGGTTCACATGCCTCGTGCCGTGAGGAGTGTGAAGAGACAGCCCATGCGAGTTTTTGTTTTCATATGTATGAACACAGTCAATACTGCACTCATGTACAGCACCCTGACATGTCCTGTCCAATTTGTACACAGGCGCTGGAACGGCAATGCCTGTATGATTACGGACGGCGTAATGTACTTGTGGGGGCGAAAGTCGAGGATGTGCCTCTGTGTTCCGATAGCACGTAGGAGCCACGTAGCCTGTGGCATCTGTCTACGCTGTGGCATTTGATGCGGCAACTGAAACTGCAACTGATGAGAATTGGATGCGGTGCTTCCACAGCGCACGCCTGAACCGGTCCTGTCCGGTCTATAGGGGTGGCCACTTACCATAGGCAACGGCTGCGGCTCCTCAATTCAAAATCTCCTGCAACCAAAACAGTGACTGGCCTCTTTTGCCATCCCAGAGTAGTCCGCTTCCAGCAGCGAGTATTTAGAGCCACCCTGTGAAGTTCGTCGTTCCTCTGCTCTGTTCTTTGCCCCTCCATCTCCCTCCTCTCCTCCCTCCCCCGCCCCTCGCTTTCTATAGAACACTCATCTTCTACCCCTTTCGTTCCTCCCTTCCCTTTTTCACTACTGTAGTAATAATGCACACGGATGAGCATCCTCAAAAGAATAGACAAAACATAATTGAACAAAAATGAACAGGAGTATACCTTCCCCTTTTACTCTCTGCCACCTTTCATGACGTGCAAGTGCGTGCCGTCAAGGCACACGGGGATAAGGGCAGCTGGTGCTAAACCACAATCAATGTGGCCAGTCCTGTACGTGAGGCACAGTAAAAGAGGAGCTGCAAGAAAGTCCGCACTGAAGAAATGCGACAAAGTCTTCAAATCATTGTCCAATGTTTGAATCAAATGCCTAGCGGCATGATCAAAGCGGTCTAAAAACGTGGAGGTACTGGTGGTTTAAACCGCAGTTGTGAGCAGGGTAGCTGGGTGAGGTACTGGTGGTTTAAACTTTAAACTTGAAACCGCAACCAACTCGGAGGGCCTCGGCCGCTGCATTTCTCTCCTGGTGACAAGACAAGGTGGGCAGAGGCTCAGCAGAGGTTCGGCACAGGTTCGGCAGAGGTTCGGCAGAGGTCTGGTGGAGGGCCCATGAAATAACAAATAAAAGGGCTTCAAATGTTTGATAACTTTGCCTCTCGGCGACCCTGAGATCGATTTGGTTCCAATCCCAATAATCACCTGTTAGGTTTGGCAGGTCAGGTCCCAAGGTAGCGATCGATGGTTTACACAGTGATAAAGGGCCTCCCTCCACTACTGACCACATGCACAAAATACAAAAAAATAAGGTCCATTCTCATTTCGCACAGTTGGTGAGTAATGGAGAGAGGCCCAAAGCCTCTCTCAAAGGGCAAACTTACACTAGCAGTGTCTCAAATGCATCTGTCCGCATCACGGCCATACCTGGATGTATCTGGCCGCAATTCCCTCAAGAACTTTGTAAAAAAGTCGTAGTCTGAGCATGTCCTAAAAGGGTCCCCTGGGGGGGGGGGGGGGGGGGGGGGGGGGGGGGGGGGGCGGAAGGTGGATCAGAAAACGACAAAGGTTAAACCACCAGTACTTGGGCCATACATGGGCCGCGGGCCTTCCCTGACGGGGGTCACCCAAGTAAACGCCCGGTTGGTCCTACAAGGCGGGGCTCAGCGGTTTTTGGGACGACACGCGTAAATTGAGAAATAAAAGGCGTTCTATTCTTTTTCTTTTTCTCTTTTTTTTCCGTGTTCTTCTGCAAGTAGGCCTGGGAAGTGAACGCCTAGTAGTTCCAGCCTCGGCAAGACTCCGGCATACCGGTCGGCCGAGGCTCGGACTTCATAGCCGGCCCAAGTACTGGTGGTTTAACAAGCACAATGCATACAACGAAACACGTTAACAACCATACATACCCTCTCCAAGTGGTGTATCTTCACACATGTCCTAGCGGAACATTCATTCAACACATACGACGAAAAACGTTAACAAACATACATACCCTCTCCAAGTCGTGTATCTTCCCATGTTCTAGCGGAACATTCATTCTCATTTTTTGCACATTTGGCAAGTAGCGGCGCAAGGCCCAAAGCCTCTCTAAAAGGGCAAAAGCGGGAGGTTTTTTTTTTTTTTTTTTTGGGGGGGGGGGGGAGGGGAGCACAGGCACAACACACACACCGAGGAAGGTTAACAAACATACATACCCTCTCCACTCCTCGCAGAAGAAGTCCAAAGTCCCTCAGAGCAGAGAGATTCTGTACAGCTTGAGAACTCAAGGCTTTGGAACACTCCTCCGACGGCTCATCCACATCTGCCAGCTCCTGCAGAGTGGATGCGAGCAAGTCTTGATAGGAGGTCATTTTCTGAAGGATGTCCTTGGTTCTTGGGACCAAGTGGGAACCTTGGTCCAGACCTGAACCAAGGTCTGACAGCTCGCCAGCTCCTCTCTTTTGGGGGAGGGATGTGTCCCCCTCCCCCCCTCTCGCCGCTGAATCATCCCCAGTAACCTTGGTGCCGAAATTTCCACCCTTGGGAGAGCCAACGGATGGCTGCAGGCCAAGCCCAGACGTCCTGATCAGGTTCACCACCGTCTGCGTGAGATCGTTCATTTCCGAAAGAACTGTCTCTGCCCTCTTCTTGGGAGATAACGCAAGGAGTGATGGAAAAGATGATCCGTTGTGCAATTCGACGGCAGTAGAATTGTCATTTTTCAAAGGAGCGGCAGGGCCAGAAGGAGCAGCAGCAGCAGCAGCAGCAGCAGCAGCAGCAGCAGCAGGAGAAGGAGAAGGAGGAGGAGGAGGAGGAGGAGGAGGTGGTGGTGGTGACTGAGTCCTCAGCAGCAAGGGACTTCCACTTGGAGGTTTTCCTCGGATCCCGTCCTCCATCAGCAACGGCTCCCTCATCTCAACCATTACCCCTCAATTACCCCCCAATTACCCCCCCAATTACCCCCCAATTACCGAAGGACATATAAAACCATCCATCCAAAGTCCTCCTGGCTTTCAAGAGAAGGAGAAAGGGAGAGAGAGGGAGAAAGAGAGAGAGAGGGAGAAAACGCATTCCAAGTCGTCGATCGTCATCTGCACTCCTGCGTCACGTCCCCTTTTGGAAAAAACAAACTGGAAAAAAAGGAAAGACGAATGTCGCCACAGAAGCCTGCATAAGACGAAGATGCATTCATCATTCAGCAAATGGTCGCTCGGGCAAAATGTTAAGAAAAAGCAGCAAAGTGAGACTCACCTCATTCCCTTCTCCAGTTTTTTCTTAAAAAAAATAAAAAATAAAAAAAAATTCCCCTTATCCACCAAACAGTCACCCGGGCAAATGTTAAAAAGAAAAGAAGTGACCTTCGGGACATCCGTTAAAGTTCGAACGATACAGAGAAGATTAAAAAAATAAAAATAAAAAAAATAAAAAAATAAAAAACAGCACGACGAAAATTCGAAACCCTTTCATTCCCTTATCTTCCCCGCCCTTACTCCATCCTGTGTCTACTACCCTCCCATCCCCTGCTTCCCCTCTC